GCCAACCAGGGATGGCCTACAGATCAAATAATGCTGGGACGCCGAGAGCAGGTCACCACAACCTGGTTGATGGGGCAGAGGCCAAGGCCAGGGCGTGACCAGCAGCAGATACTAAAACTATTCAACAAAACAGGCAGAACCAAAAAGGGGAGGGACAGAGCCACAGAGTGGAGACCAGTTCTGAGCCAATGTAGGATGCAGCCAACAAGGAGACAGGGTGGGCCAAAGAGATTCTCTGGGATGGCAACTTGAGGTCACCAAGCCTCAGTCGCCTTGAGGTCAGTCCACTGTAAGGGTACAGCCTTGCCCACTGCCCAGGGCTCAGGATCGCTGCGTTTCCAAGCGGATTAGTTTCCTAGAGTTGTTGTAACAACCTACCACAACCTGGCTGGCTTAAGACAACAGAAATTTACTCTCTCACAGTTCCAGAGGTTAGAAATCGAGGTGTCAGCAGGGCCGTGTTCCCTCTGAGACTAGGTGGAATCATTCCCTGTCTCTTCCTATCTACTGGTGTTCGCTGGCAATCCTTGGCATTCCTTGGCCTATAGATGCATCATTCCAATCTCTGCCTCTGGCGTCACATAGCAGTCTTATGTGTCCCTGTCTTCATGTGGTGTTTTCCTCCTCTTGTCAGGACACTGGTCATATTGGATTAGGGCCCACTCTCAGGACTTCACCTTAACTAATTACATCTGCAAAGACCCTCTTTCCAAATAAGATCATATTCATAGGCACTGGGTGTTAGGACTTTAACATATCTTTTGTGGGGACACAATTCAGTCCATAAGAACTGGTTAAGCTGAATCATGATCCATATAGCCTAGAAATGGGCCACAAATGGGAGGGAAGTCTTATCATTTTACTAAGCAAAATGCAAGCACTAATTGGAGTCCGGGCCAGTTGGAGAGCACATGGGAGGAGGGATGGGAGATTCCGGCTTGGTCACAGACTGAGCAGAACAGGCTTCTGGAAGGACAACATGTCCTGGCCCCGTGGCCGAGTGGTTAAGTTTGCGCGCTCCGCTGCAGGCGGCCCAGTGTTTCGTTGGTTCGAATCCTGGGCGCGGACATGGCACTGCTCATCAGACCACGCTGAGGCAGCATCCCACATGCCACAACTAGAAGAACCCACAACGAAGAATATACAACTATGTACCGGGGGACTTTGGGGAGAAAAAGGAAATAATAAAATCTTAAAAAAAAAAAAAAAAAAAGAATGTGAAACCCTCAGCACATTCAATGAGCTGTAGGAAGTATGAAACACATATTTGCTGTTTCATTGTTCTTTTCATCATCTCATTGGACATCCCTGATGCCACTGCCCCCTAGAGCTGCCACTTCTCTCCAGCGAGCCTGGCAGGCTGGGCTCCCACCATCTCTCCATCAAGCACTGTCCCATTGTGGTGGATATTCAGGTTTAAGCCTTTTCCAGAAAGCTTCATCTGGTCCTTCTGCCTCTAGCTCCTGTTCTCACACCATCCATCAACCCTTGCCAGAGAGCATAACCTCCAGGGGAGGGTCACTAATGCCCCAGGGTGTCCAAGCTTGCCAGGGTCACCATGTACCCGCTGGGCCCTCACGAGGCTGCCATGCAGCTTCCTCATCTGCTCTCGGCCACACAACATTGTCCCAAAGGCTCAACCTCTGACTACCTGGATCCAAGATTTACACGACATCTCTGGGAAAGTTGCTTTAGAGGCAGTTAGTTGGAAAGCAGTCTCAGAGAGAGTATTACGGCTTGAATTCTGTTGCTGTGGAAAGGCCTTGATTTAAAGACTTGCCAGAAAAATAACGATAGAAAGTTTTAGCATGAAGTGCTCGGGAAAGAAAGGAACACTAGAGAGGAGTGGTATCTGACACCCTCTCAAGCCACGAGCTGTGCTAGATATGCGTCCATTTTCTCTGATGACTCTCGCCACGATTAAGCCCAGCAGCTCAGGGACTCATCCTTATTTCATAAATGAGGAAACTGAGGCTCAAAAGCTGAGTGATGGGCCCAAGTTCCCCAATTTTAAGGAATAGAGTTTGGGCTCCACATGAGGACTTGTCCCAAAGCCCTTCTTGCCGAGAATTGACAACGGGCACTGGGCATGGCCAAGGCAGTGCATCTGGGTCTCCCCAAGGGTCCAGGTCAGAGCAGGGCGGCCTGGCTGGCCTTCAGTGCATCCATTCTAGCCTCCAGACTGGATGCTGCCAGCCTCCTATTGGGCCCAGCATCCCAGATCGCCCCCTGGAGGCCTGGCTGAGCTCCTGCAGGGGCCAGAGAAGCACTCTTTCCATAGTGGTGGGTCTGGGGTGGACCAGGTCCTTCGGATGAAATGTCAAATAACTAGACATTTTTCCACTACAGCCTCAAGTCATCCCACTACAGAAAAACACCCAACCTTGGCCATAAGAGGTTTTATCTTATTTTTTTCAATGGAAGAATCCCTGGACTCTACCTATTAGATGCCAATAACCTCTCACACTCAGATATAACAACCAAATATACTTTCAGATACTGTCAAATGTCCCCTGGCGGGGGCAAAATGGAATAAAGAGAACTGAACATTTTCTGAGCCTGTACTCGGTGCATATACACTTCTGTCCACCAATGAGGCACAAAGATAGTCCAGAGGATTTTTACCTCTAGATGTGCACTGTCCACAATAACAGCCACTAAGCCACACTTGGTTACTGAGCACTTGAAATGTGTCTGTGTGACTGAAGAACCAAATTTTAAAATTTATTTCATTTTGACTAATTTAATTTTTTTTCTGTTTTTTTTTGGTGAGGAAGATTCACCCTGAGCCAACATTTGCTGCTAATCCTCCTCTCTCTTTCTCTCTTTTTTTTTTTGCTTGAGGGAGATTAGCCCTGAGCTAGCATTGGTGGCAATCTTCCTCTGTTTTGTATGTGGGTTGGCACCACAGCATGGCTGATGAGTGGAGTAGGTCTGTGCCCAGGATCCGAACCTGCAAACCTGGGCTGCCGAAGTGGAGCACACGGAAATTTAACCACTTGGCCATGGGGCCAGCCTCCTCAACTAATTTAAATTTTAAAACTGAAGCAGTGTAAAGTATGTTTACTTGTTAAACACAACGTTTATTTTTTTAGAATTACATTTCATTTTAACTGTTTAAAATTTAGCATATGAACTGAGAAGTGCTGTAAGTGTAAAATTCACACCAGATTTCAAAGACTTAGTGCAAAAAAGAATGTAAAATTTCTTTCATTAGTAATTTTTAAATATTGATTACATGTTAAAGTGATAATATTTCGTATACATTGGGTTAAGTAAAACAAATCAAATTAATTTCACCTGCTGTTTTTTACTGTTTAAATATGACTCTAAAAAAACTTAAAATCGCATACATGGCTCAAATTCTATCTATTGATCAGTGCAACTCTGGAGGTTTTCCACAAGGGGTGCTGTTGCCCCTCAGGGGACATTTGGCCACATCTGGAAATACATTTGGTTATCACAACTGGGGAATAAAGTGCTACTAACATCTAATGGGTAGAGATCAGAGATGCTGCTAAACATCCTACAATGCACAGCACAGCCCCTCACAACAAACAATTACCTGTCCCCAAATGTCACTAGTGCCAAGTTGAGAAACCCCACCCTGAAGTATGAATTCCTTGAAGGAAAGGCCAGTAAGTCAGAGAGAGCTGAAGAGCCAGTTGGCAGTAGCTGAGAGAAAAAATTACAGCTGTTATTACATTTGGTTCTCCTGATTAACCATGGCCTTGGGTGTCATCAGCTGTCCCCAGAGGAAGAAAATGAAGCCCGGAGAAGAGAAACAACTTGCCCAGGATCCCCAAGCCAGAAAGTGGCAGAGCTGAGAGCTGAACTCAGACTCAACTCTGAGTGCCAGCCTGCCCCAGCTACAGGGTGCGGTTCTGCCCTCCTCCAAGTTGGTGCTGATACGAAAAGAGGCTGCCTGTGCTCCCCATCTAATAGCCCCATCACTCAGATCCGGGCAGTTACTATTTACATCAGCCATTATTGCTCCTGGGGGTTGAGCATTAACAAAAACCCTTTGAAAGGGACAGCCTGCTCAAAGAGAAACACTTGTGGGCACCTCACCCATCAAACGAGGCTGAGGAAATAAATGCAACACAATGAAATAAACCTGTCAGAGGAGGAACATTCAGATGCCTCAGAAGGCAAGAGGTAAGAACAAATGTGCCTGATATGGGATTGGCTCTGTTTAAAGAAAACATTATCAGACAGCTCGACTTGAATTGAGCCAGGGTACAATGGCCCAGCAGAAATGGAGCTGCTCATACATACTCGAGAAGAGCATCGTTTCTCAATAAACTGGGCGTGGGCACAGTGGCGAGAGTCACTTTCCTCTCACTGTCACCATGCATCCCTCTGCAACTCCTTATGGCACATGGTGCACCCTAGGGGGTAAGCATTATTATTCCCACTTAACAGATAAGAGAAGGAGATCTATATCCTTAACAGATCATTGCGTTTAAGGGAGTTGTCCAGGACAAACGGCAGACCTGGGATCATAGCCAGATCTACTCATTTCCTAAGCACAGACATGCTAGGTCAACTTCTTCCCCAACCTCAGACGACAGTTCAGTTATCACTTCCCCTGGCAAGCACTCCCTTAGATCCAGGTGTGTTTGTTTATTTTGAACACCATATACTTCTCCTTTGTGACCGCCACTCACAGTTGCAGGTGTACATTTATTTTGGTAGTTTTTTGACTAAGAGCTCTGTCTCCTCCCAGAAAGGCATAGGAATATATCTTCTTTAGTTCATTATTATATCCTTTGGTGCCCAGAACAGTGCCTGGCACATAGTAGGTACTTTGTAAGCATTATTAGAATGGATGAATGGATGAGTGGATAGATGGAGGGAGGGAGAGATGAGTGGGTGGATAGATGGGTGGGTGGGGTGGAGGGACTGCCAGTTCCTCTCTGGTGCACCTGGCCTAGAGGACCCACTGAGTGTAGGCCGCTCTCGCTCCCCTCCCACCCACCCAGGGCTCTAGTGATCACCTGTGGTGAGGAGGCAGAGTGGAGTCCCCGGGGTCACCTGGGCGCTGCCCATTGGTGCTGACCACAAGGAAGCCAGTCCCCAGGCAGCATGCAGAAGAGAAGGAGAGAAGAAACACACATGAAAACGTGCAGTACGGTGAACAAAACTGCAATTTTTGTGGCTCTGAAGAGCTCACGCTAGAACAAAAGAACATCATGATCTAACAAAACAGAGCCCGAAATAGATTTTCAAAAATGAAACAAGAACAAGAGTCACCATTTATCAAGCACCCACGACATGCCAGGTACTCTGCCAGGCACTTCGCATACAATATTTCCAAGACTTAGAACAACCCAGAAAGGTCAGTATTATTATAAATGACCCATCATCCTTCTACCCAGACGTCTTCTCCCCTAGTTGTCCCTTTCTTAGTAAATGATGCTGCCACCCATGTAGCCACGGAGTCTGGAAACCTAGGCATCATCCTTTACCCCTCTTTTTTACTCCCACTTCCAATCACTCAGCACGCCTTGTTAATTCTATTCCAGAAAAGTTCTTGAAGCTTCCCCCTTCTCTCCGACTTCATTTCCACTTGGTTCAAGCCACCCTCACGTTTCACTTGGGTTATGTAAGCAGCCTCCACTCTTGCCCCCTTTCAATCCATTCTCCACCCGTCGGTTGAAATGCGTCAGTGGCCCCATTGTTCTAAGGTAAACTTCAAACCCCCTCGCCCAGCTCACAGGCCCTCACTGAAGAGTCCCTTGCCTGCCTCTCCAGCCTCTCTCCACAACCACCACCACACTCTACCCTCTGCCCCAAGCACAATAAACTCATTTCCAGCATCAACAGTCCCCCACCTTCTTGGCTGTAGGCCTTACTTAGGCTTGTCACATTGTGTGGGCATACACCTTCCTGCCTCTTCACCTGATGACACCCTCTCATCCTGCAGGTGTCAGCTGAGAACTCCTTCTCTCTGGGAAGTCTTTCGTATCTCACTATGTATGGGACAGATGCCCCTCCTATGTCTTCCCATGACACCCTAGTGTTCTCTTCTCGTAGCAATAACCTCACCTGAGCTGCCTTCCCTCAATTCTGAACCTCCTTAAGGCAGTCACTGTGTCTCATTTACTAGTGCACTGCTGTGGCCTTGCCTCAAATATTTGTTGAATAAATGAATGAATGAGTGAAGGAATGATGAACCAGAAAATTGATATAACTTGCTCAAGGTCACAGAACCAGTAACTGACAGAGACAGTCATCAAACCCTGTTTTGCATGACTTTAATGCTCCTTCCCTTTCAAACCCACCACTTGTCTCTCTAAAGAAAATGAACAAAAGGCAGGAAGGTGCCCTATGCTTGGTCAAAGGCTGCACTGTCTCTCCAGCGATTCATCAATGAAACTGCCTCAAATCCTGATGCAAAATGCAGAGAAAAGTAGGGCATTCCAGACCAACTGATAAACAGGAAACACAAAACTTCAAAAATTTACACAAATACCAAGGTTGATCAACAGTCACGAAACGCTATAAACTAAACCATCAGTCAACACTAATCATAATTCACCTCCCTTAAAGGTATGGGGAACTTTGCCATTTTTGAAGCACATTCTCAGTCAGAGGTCAGCAAACTATGGCTGGCGGGCCAAGCCTAGCCTCCCACCGACTTTTCTGTGTATCCACAAGCTAAGAATGGTTTTTACGTTTTTAAATAGCTGGGAAAAAATAAAAAGAAGAGTAATATCTTGTGACACATGAAAATTATATAAAATTCCAAAGTCAGTGTCTATAAATAAAGTTTTATTGGAACACAGCCATGTTCATTTTATAGGGATTATCTACGGCTGCTTTTGCGCTGCAACGACAAAGTTGAGTAATTGTGACACAGACCATATGGCTGGCAAAGCTGAAAACATTTACTATCTGGCCCTTTACAGAAAAGTTTGCCAACCCCTGTTCTGAGTGGCTATTTTTACTAATTTTTTTCCCACCCTTTTGAGGTAGGCAAGATGAGGACTGTTGGCCTCACACATCAGGAAAAGAAATAGAAGGCTTGAGAGAAGAGATGGCTCCTGTGTTCTTACCTGGCCTCTTTTGGCAGCCTCCACCTGTTCCATGCTCCTGTGTTCCACCCCTGTTCTTGCCTCAGTCCCCCTTTTCTAAGCTGTAATTAGGGTGGCCTTAGTGACAAAGGCAGTCTGTTTAAGCTCCTCCAAGGGCTCCCACCGTCTCAGGACAAGGTTCATGTACACACTATGGGGCCACACAGAGTCCCTAGTGTTCTGCTCTTGCTTACCGCTTCAGCCTCACTTCTGATCACTCCTAGCTTCCTCCGGTCGCATCTGCATTCTAGCCATTGTTCCTTTCCTTGTCCCATTCAAGTTCAGTGGCAAGCTCTCTTGCCCCCAGTGATTTGCACATGCTGCTTTCTCAGCTCAGAAAACCTCTCTGTCTTACTCTCCAACCTGGTTCAATATGATTATTGTCACTCTTCTTTCAAAACTTGTCTCAGTTCTTTCAAAACATATCTGAGAATGCGTACCCTAAATTGATTTGTTTCCCTTCTCTGTGCTCCCACAGCATCCTGAATTTACCCTCATCATAGGCCTTATCATACTGTATTGATACAATTTATCTATTTGTTGGCTCCCCCGCTAGCCAGAACCTGTTGAGTGCTTATTATAAGCCAGGCATTCCACTAAGCACTTTATATGTAATAACTCATGAAATTCTTACATTGGCCCCATGAAGTAAGTGGTTATTGTCATTGATTCATAGATGGGGAAACTGAGACACAGAGCAGTTAACTACCTTTTCCAGCCTAGAACCAAAGACTGTGCAAATCCAAAGATGATGTTCTTAACCTCTAGGGACTGAGGGACCATATATCAATACTAAGTTGCACTCAATAAATGTTTATTGAAAAGTAAGTGAATACATGAAATTCTGGTTTGGCATTTTTTACTTACTGGCTGTGTCACTTGGAAAGTTACATACATTTCTAAGTTTCAATTTCTCTATCTATAAAATGAGGATAATAATAAGCATTTCATGATGTTCTTTTAAGGATCAAATGGAAAACAGTTAAAGCCTCAGTTCAGCCGGCAGGTCCAGAGGAGGTGCCTCCCCACCCTACCACCTACATTACAACTCTGCTTAGCAGGAATGCTCAGTGATGAGGGGTAGGAACAGTGGTACAGCTGGACAGGGGCAGGGATGGGGAGAGGTTTTTCTAGTGGGTGGGGCAGCAGAAGATAAGTGATCGATCATGGGTCTCACCAGGACTCAAAGGGAGGTAGAAATCCAAAAAGGACTCAAATGTCTCATGCTAGAGATGACTAGTGTTTACCAATGCCTCGCTCATCTCTCCTTCTTAGACACACGGAAGAATTCGAGTCTCATCAAGGCCATGTAAGTGGAAGCGACATGCGTCATTTCCAAGTGAGATATTTAAGATCCAGATTACTATGTTCATACTTTCTCTTCCCCTGCTATGGAGTACTTTGAAGCCACATACATTCTGGATGGCATACAACAAAGAAACCTTTGTGGTATTAAACTACTGAGATTTGGATATTAATTTTTTTGCAGCAAAAGCTAGCCTATCCTGACTAATCCAGCAGAAGAAAAGGTGGTAGTCCCTTGCTCTCCCCTCTATCACCTGGTCCCCCATCACATGGCTTTTTTAATGGAGGATTCATGACCCTGTTCTCTTCACAGTTTCTAGGACCTGTCCATACATATATATACCACCCCATAAAGAAAACACTGAGACCATGCAAAGAAGAAGGAGGTCAGCGTACTAGATGCCTCAGACTTCTTTTCTGACTTTTATTCCCTTCTAAAGCAAGGAAAGATGAGTATATAGAGATACTGATTGGCTAAAGATGGCATTGGAGCAGATAAGGTTGAAGAAAAACTAATTTCTTGGCTTATTAACTTCAGCATGTTGTGGAAGTGTAGAAAGCCAAGGGCTTGTTGAGGCACCTCACATTCTGCCCCAGATCCCAGGACTTAGCTGGGACACCGCCGAGGATAGGACAAGGACCCATCACACCCGACAGATTCCACAATCAACTATTACTGGAAAAGAGGCATGGGAAGGAGTTAACAAATAAGAGACAGGGCACCCTAACAGTGGCCTAGAGAATCCCACTCAATCTATGGTTGTGACAAGATTCAAAATGGTGCCATGGAAATGCCAGGAGTGCTGGAGTTAGATTTGAGCTACAATTCTGAGGGACCTTGAGCTCTTTGTTTAACCCTTCTGAGCCTACACTGTTTCCTTTCTTGAGTAAGGCTAATAATGATGACCACTATTCATTTAGTGCATAATACATGCCATGTTTTACTTCTGTCATTGCACTGTAAACTCATTTCACATACATAGCCCTGTGACTGGCACACAATAAGTGGTTAATTTTTGCTAATCCTCTCCAACTTTGACACTACATTGAAACCCGAAAACCCCATCAGAGAAGGCTCTAATGAAGCTTTACTCTTTTTATTTCTAACTCTTATCTTCAGTCTACCCCAATTTTCCCCCTTCCCTGATCCCCAATTTTAAAAGGCTTCCTATTCCTTTTGTAAGATGCAACTGCTTTGGAACAACAGATTTGAGCTAAAGTCAATCAGGTGTCTCAGGTCAGTAGATAATTCTCATTTCTAGTTTAGAGGGATGAACTGGGACTCCCCAAGGACACGTTTGAAGGACAAGAGTTGGTCTTGGCTTTTGTTTTCCTGGACTCTATTGCATCAGCTTTGTCTTCCTGAGTGGAGTGTGGAGAGTATTTGTGTGGGCGGTGGGGGGAAGTTTGAGCAAATGTAGAGAGTAGAGGGTAGGCAAAGGACAGAAGAAGACTAGAGAGATGGACCAGCCGTTGTAGCAAGAAAAATATTGAAGAAATGGTTGAGATATTTGAAGGTCATCTTTACTATCATTATTTCACGGGGTACTTATGACACAATCCTCTTCCTCCATCTTGTCACAAAACCTTCAGGAAAATCCACATTATTCCACTGGCATTTTAGGGCCTAGAAGACTCTGGACCAGAGCAAAGGGGCCAAGGGTCCAGGAGAC